CTTGACCACATTTTATAGGCAGTAATCTAGATCTTTTAAACTCCAAATTCTAGGCCAGGTATGGTGGCTCACGCCTGTAATCCCAACAACTCAGAAGGCTGAGGCCAGAGGATTGCTTGAGACCAGGGGTTCAAGACTGGCCCAGGCAACATAGCAAGACCTCATCTCTAAAAAAATTTTTTTAAAAACTAGCTGGGGGCCAGGCAAGGTGGCTCACACCTGTAATCCTAGCACTCCGAGAGGCCGAGGCAGGAGGATCTCTTGAGGTCAGGAGTTCTAGACCAGCCTGAGGAAGTGTGAGACCCCCCTCTCTACTAAAAATAGAAGAAAAAATTAGCTGGGTGTGATGGTGCTCGAGTCTAGTCCCAGCTACTTGGGAGGCTGAGGTAGGAAGATAGCTTGAGCCCAGGAGTTTGAGGTTGCTGTGAGCTAGGCTGATGCCACGGCACTCTAGCTTGGATGACAGAGCAAGACTCTAGCTCAAAAAAAAAAAAAAAGACAAATTAGCTGGTAATGGTGGCATGTACCTGTAGTCCTGGCCACTCAGGAGACTCAGGTGGGAAGATCCCTTGAGCCAGGAATTTGAGGTTGCAGTGAGCTATGATGGCACCACTGCAGACCAGCCTGGGTGACAGAGTGAAACCCTGTCTCTAAAAAATAAAATTAACTTCAAATTGTGCGTTCTTTTCATTAGCACACTAATAAGCAAATGGATTCAATTTAGAATAATAATTTTTTTTTGTGAACAGAATCTTCTATCTAATTATATCCTTTGTAAATGGGTACTATTATCCTTGATCAAATATTAATTTCCTGGTTCATTGTTTATAATTAAAATTGCTGGTCTTTCCTTTTGAATAAATTAGAAGTAGTCTTCAAAAATGAGTCACAATAAATTTTCTGTTTCCTACATATGGAATAAGTGATTGGAAGCAAGTACTCCTGCCCACCAGCTGCTTACAATAAAACTGTTCATCAAAATCTCGTGTAATGAATTAATATTAACTAATTCTGTAGGCAGAAGAAGAGTTCAACATTGAGAAAGGTCGGCTTGTGCAAACCCAAAGACTGAAGATTATGGAATACTATGAGAAGAAAGAGAAGCAGATTGAGCAGCAAAAGAAAATGTAAGTGGATCCTGGTCACAGTACTAAGCTGAGGAAGCTTTCCAAAGTCACTGAGAAGCTGTGCGTAATGGCTCATGACTGTAATCCTGGGAGGCCGAGGCCAGGAGTTTGAGACCTGCCTGGACAACATGGCAAGACCCCATCTCTACAAAAAATAGGAAAATTACCCAGGCATGGTGGTATGTGCTTGTAGTCCCAGCTACTCAGAAGGCTGAGGCAGGAGGATTGCTCGAACCTAGGAGTTTGAGGCTGCAGTGAGCTGTGATGAAGCCTCTGCACTCTAGCCTGGAAGACAGAGTGAGACCCCGTCTCAAAAGAAAGAAAGTCACTGAGACAGGAGAGAGCAGGTGTTTGGGAGTCAGGCAGATATGGGTTCAGGTCTTAACTTGACCACCAGAGACCTATCTGACAGTTGTTTAACTTCTCTCTTTCTTTGTGAAAATGGAAGCCACATAGGCTTATTGAAAGATTAAATTGCAATCAGTTGATATGAAAGTGCTTGCCATGTGGTGAGCACTCAGCATTTTCTTATTTTTGAAAATAAGTTGGTAGAAAACATTAAATGTGTTTCAATAGGTTTTCTTTGGTCATTAGAAAGAGAAGTATTTGTCGTTTATCAAATCTTCATCGTACATACACAGGAAGCTATATATTTCTCTACAGTTTTTGTTTTTTATTCTGTACTGATATTATTTTTCCATACCTTTTTGCAGTCAGATGTCCAATTTGTTGAATCAAGCAAGGCTCAGAGTGCTCAAAGCAAGAGATGACCTTATCACAGTGAGTAATTAGCCCCAATAGTTATAAAATTATAAAATGTTTCTTTATTTGCCTATCATAGAGGATCATCAGTTAACATTAATTAAGGAGTTGAATAATTTTCAGAGGGAAAGCATTTGTTCAGCAAATCATTGTACTAGGTATTACGATAAATACAAAAATGAATAAGATCCCAGCTACTTGGGAGGCTGAGGTGGGAGGATCGCTTGAACTCAGGAGTTCCAGCCCAGCCTGAGCAAGAGCGAGACCCATCTCTACTAAAAATAGAAAAATTTGGCCGGGCGC